TTTTTTTTTGCAGTTTTTGGCCGGGGCTAGGTATGAACCTGCCACCTCCAGTATATGGGGCCAGTGCCCTACTCCTTTGAGCTACAGGCGCTACCCTAGATTCTTTTAAATACATACTAAACCATGTTTTCCGAACATTTATTATATGTCAGGTACCATTAGCACACACGTAATTGTTATAATAATGCTGACAAGTGGGTATTTCTCAGGTGGAGAAACTGAAGCTTAGCAAGATTGCCAAAGGCCACTCCACCTCTAGGGGCTGCAGCTTTCATACTTTATGTCACCACCTCCCTTAGCTCACCATCTGTCTACCTGAATACATAATTATTTTTCTAATTATTTAATACATAATCTATTTTTCCAAATAGCAACTGTCTTTCTTCTCCCATTTCAGCATTTATATAGCAAGATGCTCTAAATTGCTGCCTGCCAGATCCCCTTCCCCAGGTACCAGATACCTTCCTGGCCAGGTGGAGCAGAGAACAGTCACTCAACTGGTCATGGTGAGCTCATATCCTATAAATGTGACCACACTACACAGATCTGGATTTAGCTAGAAACCAGCCCCAATCACAATCATGTCTGTTCTTAATCCAGTGGGGGGTGTGAGGAACCATTTAGAGATGGAGCCCTTGTCAGGGGTTAGTAGAGAAATAGAACTTCTGGGAGTCCAGCCATTGGGATTTAAAGTAAGGTAAATATAGATTTTGTGAGTCTCTCTCTCTCTGCCTTTGGTAGGATGGCTGTCCCATGAGGTCAAAACCAGGTCTTTCTCCTTTTCCCACTGTACCAATGCCTAATCTTATGGGGTTTGTTCTGAGCCCAACACTATGGCATCATCGACCTCCCTCCCAGCTCCTCGCTCCCGGTCTAGGAAGCCTCTGAGCAAGATGACTGGTAAGTGGAACCTGGCTCCTAATTCTGCTCTTGCTGCTGAGTGTGGGATCCTGTCTCCTTATGGGCGAGGAAGGAGGCCTGCCTGGCCCCCGTACAGGGTGGATGAGGACAGCTGATGAGATGAAGGTGAAGCTCCTGATATGTATTCAGTGCCCAGAAGTCTGGTTGGGGGTGAGGATGCATCAGTCTAATCTTCATCCTTTCAGCCCAGAGGTTTTCTAGACCTGCTCAGCTAGGTAATTTTCCTAGCCTGGAAACCACCCTCGCTGAGTGCTTAACCTTGTGCCTCCTGTTATCTAAATCTTTGTTCCAGAACCATTCAGAGGAAGGAGCCAAGCAGAGAAAGAAAACTAATCAGTCCCCACAACACTAAGTTATCTGTCCTTATCAGAAGCTGGGTAGCCAGGTTTTGACATCATTATGAGTACTTATGGGTACAGTATGCCAGATGCCACATTATCTCAGCCAACTTTCAACAACTAAAACAAACCCATTTTACAGATGAGGGACTGGAGATGTCATACAGGAAGCAAGCTGCAGACCCACAGTCACACACAGGTGCCTGACTCCAAATGCAGCCGAGCACCACAGCTCTGCACCCTTCAGGAGGGCTGGGCAGCTGCCCTCATCCTGTAGCTCACTTAGTGACAGGCCAGGGCTTCTCAGCGCCATACAGGTGCCATTCCTCCCACCCTTTCCTTTCTGTAAGGGCCGCACTTCTTTTTTGCTTTTTTTGTAGAGACAGTCTCACTTTATCGCCCATGTTAGAGTGCTGTGGTGTCACAGCTCACAGCAACCTCCAACTCCTGGGCTTGAGGGATTCTCTTGCCTCAGCCTCCCTCAGCTGGGACTACAGGCGCCCGCCACAACAGGGCCGCACTTCTTTTTTTTTTTTTTTTTGAGGCAGAGCCTCAAGCTGTCCCCCTGGGTAGAGTGCCATGGCATCACGCTCACAGCAACCTCCAACTCCTGGGCTCAAGCGAGTCTCCTGCCTCCGCCTCCCAAGTAGCTGGGACTACAGGCGCCCGCCACAACGCCCGGCTATTTTTTGGTTGCAGCTGTCATTGTTGTTTGGCGGGTCCGGGCTGGGGATTCCAACCCGCCACCTTAGGTGTACGTGGCTGGTGCCTTAGCCGGTTGAGCTATAGGCGCCGAGCCAGGGCCGCACTTCTTAATTTAACTTCACCTCCTCCCCACGGCATTGGAAGTGGGCTTGGAGACTGATGGTTCTTACTAGCTCGAAAAGCTCTGCTCACCACTCCCCAGGTGGCTGACTGCCAACCTCCGTGACAAGTTCTGCTTAAGGTGGACTGGGGGACCCACACATCAAAGTTGCCTCGAGCAGGGTGGGGCCATCTCTTAATAAGCCAGTAAAACACACCCACGGGACCCCAGAGTTCTTGAATACTCCCCAGACCTTCCAGATAGAGGGAAATTTTACTCAAGTCCGTCAGGATGTACAAAACAGCATAGTGGTAGGTCTCTGAGAAGAATGTGTTGTGTCCCAGGGCATGGACACAGACAGGTCATCTTGGGTGGTGGGTCGATGAGAGGGCGGTGAGACACGGGCAGAGCGGAGTGTTCTCCCTGCAGACTGGCTAAGGCAGGCCCTGTCCAGGAAGCCCGAGAGGACGTCGGAATCTGCTGAAAGCTCGCCCGGTGCCACATCGCGGCCTGCCTCGCAGGATGGGCTCCCTGCCAAGGGGATCAGCTCAGTCGGGTCTCCCGGCACGCCGCTGACCCCTGGCTACGGGAGCAACGGCCGCTGGGGCAAGGACTACGACGTGTGCGTGTGCCACAGCGAGGAGGACCTGGGGGCCGCCCAGGCGCTGGTATCCCACCTGGAGGGCAGCGCTGCCAGCCTGCGTTGTTTCCTGCAGCTCCGGGACGCGGCACCCGGCGGCGCCATCGCGTCGGAGCTGTGCCAGGCGCTGAGCCGGAGCCACTGCCGCGTGCTGCTTATCACCCCGGGCTTCCTGCGGGACCCCTGGTGCAGGTACCAGATGCTGCAGGCCCTGGCTGAGGCCCCAGGGGCGGAGGGCCGCACCATCCCCCTGCTGTCCGGCCTGGCCAGAGCTGACTACCCTCCGGAGCTCCGATTCATGTACTACGTGGACGGCAGGGGCCCCGACGGTGGCTTTCACCAAGTCCAGGAAGCTGTCCTGCGGTGTAAGTTGTATTGTAAGATGCAGGTGGGCGGGAGAAGAGGAAGGGGGTTAGGCTATAGCTTGAGATCTGTTTTGCTTTTAGGGGACGCCCAGACTGTGGGCAAGACGGCAATCACTTGTGTCCTGCTCCTTCACCTATGGCTAGTGAAGAGTCACTTGGGCAAACTGCTTAACCCCGTGTGCTTCAGTTTCCTCATTGCCCATCAGGCTTCCATAACTATAAAATGAGAATAGTATATCGCTAAAGGCTTAGACCATGTCCTGGCCCATGTTAAGTATTCATACTAGGCAGGGCCTGGCACACAGGAAGTTCTCAATGGAAATCATTAGCTAGTAATAGCATCTCATTGTGATCAGGTTGGAGATGTCCACTGAGGACTGGGAGGATGCCGGGGGACATGGGCTTAGCTTGGGAAACAGTATAAAACAATAGGAAAGAACTGCATATATATGCACATCTGGGGAGGGGCATTATAGTACAATGGGTTTGGAAGGAAAGGTAACATAAAACCGAGAAGCAGCAGGGCCCGTTGGGGGAAACGGGTGCTGGGTTTGGGGAGGGTGACAGCACTTTGATTCTGTTTGTTCTCTTTCAGATCTGAAGACACTCCCTTGACATTAATTATATCATCATGACCCCAGAAAGTTGGAGTAAAGCTTCAAAGAGCACATGCAGGGCCTTGGGTTCTAGCTAATGTGCCAGGTATAAGGAGCCAGAGTCTGCAGCACTTTGCCGGTGATCCTGGGATCAATTGCCCATCAGGCTCCTATTACTGTGAACTCCCCAGCAAGGCCAGGGGGAGGTCAGGGACTCCCCCAGAAGGCCATAAAGAAATTGGGAACTCCCCAGGAAGATCATGAAGAAGCTGGGGACTCCCCAGGAAAGCTAAGAGGAAGCTAGAGTGGGAGGTAGTGTTGATACTGGGATGGTCAGCTGTGCTTTGCCTCCTGCCTAATAGGGTAGGAAGACTGGAAGACTCTTACATTTTCCTCTGTAAATGGGCACTGGTATAGACAGGTGTCTCTTAGACCTAGGTGCTCACTTGACTGATGAACAAGCAGCTTAGACCACAGGCCTCAACATGGATGGTTTTCCTGGTTGCCTGGGGAAGCCCCTGAACAGGTATCAGGAGAAAGTGACAGGTATCATGTCCTTCACACACTACGCTGTGCCCTTTCCCAGAGGCACCCATCTGCTCCAAAAGGCTGTATGAAAGATGCATTCAGCACAGCATGGCATTTCATTTATTGAACATTAAAGACACACCTAGAAGCCATTCTGAATATATAAGGATGGTTAGGGACCAGGTAGGAACCCTAATGCCTGGGACCCAAAGCCCAGATGCTGTGACATCTGGGGGCATCATCAGGGTCTGGCCAGAGCAGTATGTACCTTCAGACAACGGGAATCAGCATCTTTCTCTGGCAGATGACTGTTCCCCATAGGACAGGCAGGGTCTCATTCATCTGTGCTCAATAAGTTTGCTGGTGAACTGAAATCAATTTCATTATTTACCCCCAATGTGTACTTTGTGCCTCTTCTCAGTTCCCCCATCATATCCTCTTTCACTGAAAAAAATCTTTCTAAATTATGAATTATTTTATAGACAAAAGGACTAAAGAATACATGTAATATAAGGCACACTCAGGTGCCTGCCCCCTAGCTTAATAAGCAAAACCTTATCCCTGTGGTACTCCCTGAACTGCAGTCCCCTCACTTCCCCCCCAGACTTAAGTACTCTTCTGAATTTTGGACTTACCTGCTCTTAGCTTTTCTCTATATAAATTTACTATGAATGTGTGTGTCCCTACCAGCACCTTGTTCAGCGGTGCCTGGCGTTATACTTTACACAAAGGGCTCTGTAACACTGCTCTGCAGACTCCTTTCTTTGTTCACCAGGTCTGTGAGATTTGTCCAGGCTGATGCCTGACACTCCACTTAATTTATTTTCTTACTATTATGTAAATATGCCATTACTTAGCCACATATTCTTCTAGAAATAGTTATTTCTAGGTTTTTGCTATTAAAAACAATGTGCCTATGAACATTTTTGTACTTTTCCGTGAGCAAGATTTTCTAAGATTTAGCTTAGAGGGAGAATAGCCGAGTAGTAAACAATCTACATCTTCAGTTTCACTAGAAAATGCCAAAGTTTCCTCCAAATTGGTTATGCCAATTTATGTTCCTACCATTTGTTTTTGAGAGTTTCCACTTTTTTATGTTCTTGCCAACACTTAGAATTATCAGATTTTAAAATGTCCACGAACTTAGTGGGTGAAACTGATCTTACTGTCATATTTTTTTTCCTTTTCACCATATGATAAACTATGTATACACACATATATATATATATAACTAAAAGGAAAAAAGTTGACAAATCCCTGGTATATCTGTCAACCAGCTTCAAGAATTATCAGCTCATAGCTAGCTTTTATCAATAGTAACCCTACCTATTCCCTCACTCCTACATCTTTTTTTTTGAGACAGTCTCAAGCTGTCACCCTCAGTAGAGTGCTATAACAACACAGCTCACAGCAACCTCCAACTCCTGGGCTCAAATGATTCTCTTGCCTCCGCCCTCCCAAGTAGCTGGGACTACAGGTACCCGCCACAACACCCAGCTATTTTTTGGTTCCAGCCGTCGTTGTTTGGCAGCCCCGGCTGGATTTGAACCCACCAGCTCAGGTGTATGGGGCTGGTGCCTTAGCTGCTTGAGCCACAGGCGCCGAACCTCCTACATCTACATCATTTTGAAGCAAATCTCAGGCATTATTTTATTCCTGTTTAAGTTTGTAGCTCTAAATTATTAGAAAGACTTTCTAAAAAGTATTATAATGTCATTTTAATTTTTATATCTGAGAGAGTCTCTGTCGCCCTTGGTAGAGTGTCATGGTGTCATAGCTCACAGCAACCTCAAACTCTTGGGCTCAAGTGATCCTTCTTGCCTCAGCCTCCTGAGTAGCTGGGACTACAGGTGCTGGCCACGACAAAGTCTTACCCTTGCTCAAGTTGGTTTTGAACTCCTGAGCTCAAGCAATCCACCGGCCCCAGCTTCCCCAAGTGCTGAGATTTCAGGCACAAACCACCTCGCCCAGCCTTGTCACTTTTATTTGAGACAGAGTTTCATTGGGTTCCTCTGGCTAGAGTGCCTAGGTCACAGCAATCTCAAACTCCTGGGTTCAAGCCATTCTCCTACCTCAGCCTCCTCAGCAGCTGGGACTACAGGTGCCTGTCACAAAGTCTGGCTTTTTTTTTTTTTTCTATTTTTAGTAGAGATGGGGTCTTGCTCTTTCTCAGGCTGGTCTACAACTCCTGAGCTCAAGGGATTCTGAGCCTTGGCCTCCCAGAGTGCCAGGATTATAGGCATGAGTCACCATGACCAGCTGACAATGGTTTTTTTTTTTTTCTTTTTAGAGATAGCACCTCATTCTGTTGTCTGGACTAGAATGCAGTGGTATCATCATAGTGCACTGTAGCCTCAAACTTCTGGGCTCAAGCGATCCTCTAGCCTTAGTCTCCCAAGTAGCTGGGACTATAGGCACAAGCTCTCCTGCCTGGCTAACATTTTTCATTTTTTTGTATAGACAGGGTCTTGCTGTGTTGGTCAGGCTGCTCTTCAACTCTCAACCTCAAGATATTCCCCCACCTTGGCCACCAGAAGTGTTAGGATTACAGGTGTGAGCCACTGTGTCTGGCCAGTTTTTCATTTTTATATAAAATATTTTAACTCACTTTGTGTCAGTGCTTTTTGTATGTTACTCAGGAATTCCTTTCCCTGCCCCTGTATTTTCTTCTGGAAGTACTTCCTTTTATACTTAGGTCTTTAATTACCTGGGTTTTTTTGTTTGGCTTGGTTTTGTTCATGATTTCATATCACAGACCCAGTATTTTTTCCATTTGAATAAGCACCATTTACTACCTCCCCCCCCCCCCCGATGATGTCACAGCTGTTATATTGTCTTATGTGGGGAGTAATTATGGGGTTCTTCATTCTCCACTTGTTTGTATATCCCTGTGTTGGTGCCACGCTGGCTTACTTACTGTTTTTAATCTGCCTTGATAGTTTGTAGGTCAATTCTTCCCACTCTTTTTTTTTTCTTTTTTGCAGTTTTGGCTGGGGCTGGGTTTGAACCCGCCACCTCCGGCATATGGGACCGGTACCCTACTCCTTTGAGCCACAGGTGCTGCCCATCCCACTCTCCTTTTTGGGGGGGTGGGGGACAAGAGTCTCACTCTGTTGCCCTGGTAGAGTGCCATGGCACCAGCCAACCTCAAACCCCTGAGCTCAAGTGACCCTCCCACCTCAGCTTCCCAAGTAGCTAAGACTACAGGTACCCACAACACCTGGCTAATTTTTCTATTTTTCATAGAGATAGGGTATTACTCTTGTTCAGGCTGGTCTCGAACTCCTGAGCTCAAGGGATCCTCCCTCCTAGGCCTCCCAGAATGCTACAATTACAGGTCTGAGTCACCGCACCCAGCCTACATTAGATTTTCTAACGTTAAGCCTGCTTTATACTCCTGGGGTAAACTCAAATTGAACATGTTTACAGGATTAATTCCTTACACTTTTTAAGGACTTTTACATCTATGTCCATTCTTAAATAATCTTTTTCTTGTTGTGATATGGAAGTTATACTAGTTTTTTTTTTTTTTTT